TATAAGTAATTCCTTTTTTACTCATTTAATTTCTTTAATCTTATACTATTTTACTATTGTTAAATTGAAAAGGAAGGAAATATCTCACGAATAATGATAAAAAATGTCACAACATTTATTATTTAAAAAATAAAAATTTGTTAAAGTCTTGAAAATGATTATATGTGTGTTCGTATGCATATTAAAATTTAAACATGTTTATATAAAAATTGTTATTTTTATATTTTGGAATAATATTCTTAATTTCAGTTTATTAACGTATTTGTAATCCGTTAACATATTTTATAAAATCACGGGGTAAAACAATAAAATTGTATTCTTTTTTTAATAGAAAGGCTTCGTGCAAGGACAATGCATTTTTTCCCTGGTCACTAATATACAAATTATTTTATTTGACCAAATAAAAATGCGTTTCCCTTTGTAAATTTTTATATAGTTATTTTTCTTCAAACAATTTTTTTAAAAAAAGAATATAGTATTTATCTGGTTTTTCATATTTTTTAATAAATCATGATACGAAGGAAAGTTATGCTCTGGTGAAAGCTTTAATTAAGGAACATGTTTCACATAAGACATTTATAGAGAGATTGTAATTGTTCTACTAAATAGACTCTCATATCCAATAAATATAAATGAGAATTGAACTTACACCTCCAACTTATACCAAAGAATATTCCAAGCAGAATTGTTAAATTAAGACAAAACTAAGGAAAATTTAATGCTTTACGATATTATTTTGGTGAAGATTTTAGGCAAATGTGATGTATTATTTCAAATTCCTGAAGAAAGGACTTTACTTTTCATGTGAAATATTTAACTTTATTTGTGATAAAAAAAATAAACATCATATTATATATAAATTTTTTTAATTACATATAAAAATTTATGAAATTTTAATTCCAAAAAACTTGGCAATTTTTAAATTTATATTTACTTTGGGTGATGCAATAGTACAAGTTTTTTTTTATTTTTTTTAGTTTTGTGATTAAATAAGGTAATATAATTGAAAGATCTATAATGATTGTCTTAAAAGATAATGCTTTTTCTTTTTCTTTTTCTCAGATTCCTCTTTGATTTGTTGTGTGTAAAGCTCTTGAAAAGAGCAATGATAACATGAGACAATATAATAATGTAAAGTGGCATTGTGTATTGCTTACTAAAGCTAAAGCTAACTTATTTACAGTGTTCTTTTGCATTCCTAGGTACACTTCTTGTACTAAGTTTATCTGAACAAAGAGTAATACAGTACTTAATTGATTTCTAAATTGTGAATGCTGATTAATTTAGTTTTTAAAATCATAATGCTATTTTAGTACTTAAAATTATTAAGCCACGGTCTCTAAAATCATAAAATAATAGTCATTTTGATTTTTAAAATTACAATGCAAATATAAGAATTAAAATTTAAATGACACATGTGATAATTTTAAAAATTGAATTAATTTATAATATTTATATTTTTAAAGACTAGTTTAATATTTATATTTAATATATTATATGAATGCGTAAGTAAATAATACCGAGCTGAATTTTGTTCTTGGGACAAAATAATTAATATTTTTATTATTTAAATATTTCAAAATTAATGTTGTGACAGAATTGATAACTTGTAATTACAAAATGATAACACGTTACCAAATTGAAAACTTGTATTAAAGTTTGTAAGATTTTAGCAATGCATTCATGAGTTATTGCATACAATTTAATGATATTATTTATGAAACAAAAATAGAAAAATAAGATTCGATAAGAGATGTCGTTTTATGTAACATTCTATTATACCACCCATTTTTTATTTGAAATTATGAATTTGCAACAATCATTGGATTAGATAAAATGGTATGTTGAACAATGCTAAACAAAAATATTCACTGCACATTATGCTAGTCTTACAATGTTGCAAAACAGATAGAGTATCAATATTATTATATCCCTTGCAAACACATAAAATCAATGAGATTATATTACTGCATGTTGACAATTTTGATATTCAAAATATTAATACCTTGATGTTAAATCATGTCATAATAGTTAAGAAGCATAGGCAACGAAACTTAATAAAAAAATTTGTAATGGAAATAAATGTGTGACATATAGAAGATTTATATAAGAGAGGAAAACAAATCTTTCAAGTAAGTATAAAATAGAGAAAAGAGGTTTAGAGACTAAATACTTGAGAAGGTCGATCAATGGTAGCATTCAACAAGTATTACAAATGGAACAAGCATGTGATTTTTCAAGTTCATTAGATATTATTAATTGTATATATGCATTGGAAGTGAAAAATGACCTATGGTAATATTTTTTATAATTCTTAGGATAATATAAAAAATGACATCTCAACAATTAGATTATCTAGCAATCATCGTTCCAATTTTTCAACTTATTTACAAAAGTGAGATGATCTTGCAACATAAAGCACTAATTCATCATAGAAAAATTCATCGTTAGCTTCAATTAAGTAAACTTGATAAATTATATTTGAAAACATTTTAAACAAGAGAATAACAAAAGTCAGATGTTGTCACAGTTAATGTTGCTTTTTTAAAAAAAAAATAATTAGTAGACGTTGTTATATTTTAAATGTTTCAAAATCTTATTTCATTAAAAAAAAGTTAAAATAAATTTGTCAAATTTTCTATATTATAATTTATTTATGTCAAAATTAGAATAAAATAACAATTTTAATTTAAAATTAAATTAACCATTGAGAATATATAAAAACGTGAGCTAAGTTGTGGGATCATTTAAAGAAAAAAAAAATAAGTTGCATTATTGCAAAGAACTAAGAGGTGCATAAATTGTTAAAAAATGTATATTTGTGAAACTTATATAAAAGTTATAAAATAATGCTCAAACAACTTTAATGTAGTTTCATTAATATGGATAATTTAATTTTAACTTTTAATATAAATTTAATTTTGTCCAATTCCTTGACCTAAGGTGAGAACGAGAAATGTTCTGAAGGTGATATTCAACTGTTGATGCAGTGGGGATCATGACAGAGAAGAGTGTTCATACAAAAAACACTTTAAGCTATTGACATGAGTTAATTGATTGACATAACTTGAAAGATGCTATTTGTCAAAGCCTTACTTACTAAGAAATAGGTGAACAGATATATTATTAATTGAGGATTAAATGAGTTATTTAAGCTAATTAACAAAAATAGGTTTAAGATAACTCTATCTAAGATTTATCAGTTTTGATAATAATAACAATTTTGGCCATTTAACCATAGTCTATTATATTAATTATAATCAATTTTATTTTTTTAATTTATTTATAAGTACTTATTAAAAAAAATTCTATATCTAATTGAAATTTTTTTTCTATATCAATTCAATACCTTTTGGCTTTTGCAAGCTGGCTAACAAATCTACCGATTCTCTCTCTCTCTCTGTCATTTTCTTTCATTTTCATATTCATATTGAAGCTCAAAAGGGTACCCAAAAAAATTGAGAATAATAAAATTGGGGTACAAAATTATTATTGTCACATTATTTCATGGTGAAAGAAGAACTTCATGATCGAATGGTGAGACGGAAATACCCCTGACTAACTCCGGCGTCGTTTCGGAGAAGTTTCCGTCAACGTACGCCACCGTGCGTAAATGATGTGTAATTGGGTGAGGTTGGTATTTATTATTTATTTATTTTCAATAGTTTATATAAATTTTCGCAATAAATAATTATTATTGGTGCCCAATCTTCCAGAGTTGCAGTGGGCCAAGGCGACCAACATTCTTTTTATATAAAAATTCAAAATTTCATATATTTTTTTAATTAATTCAAATTAATTAAAAAATTATAATAGTTCTGTTTGGAATTGGTAACAAAATAATTCAAATTGTTCATACAGAGCCATGAGTCATGAGTGTGAATAGTAGTAAGTTTCTGCTTTTCCCTTTGATGATGGGTTTATGATTGACTGATTAATGAGGGCCTCATTATTAGAATGATGCTTAATAGATTCTTATAATCGAAATCCAATCAACGAGGGAGATTAAACGGAATGAAAGTTGATGTTTAATGAGAATATTGAACACTTGAATAAAAATTTTAGTTAAATTAAACTGAACAATGTTTCTCTGAAATTAACTTTTCTAGCACCCAGTTATGCTAAACCAATTAAAATCAAGATTTGATCTCATAATGCTAAAAAGGGAGAGGTCAAATTTGCAGAAAATGAACAAATGGTTAAAAGAGTTAAGAAGCTGTAACATGTAATAAACACCATTAATATTTTAGTTAGTATACCTAAGATTGCATTCATTAATCATCATCCCTTCCTCGCTGTCCTGCATTTTATTGCTGTAAACGAAGAATATTTCTTTACATAAAAATTAATCATATTTTTCACTCCATCCGTTTTAAATTAATTAATTTTAAGATTTTATGCAAAAATTAAAAACAATATATATTGTAATTAATAAAATATTTTTATTAGTTACAATATTCATTACACCCATTATTTACTTAGAATAAAATTAAAATAGAAAATCTTCTTATTAAAATCTAAAAGGTCATTCAATATTATTTTTTAATTAAAACGATGCTTAATTTGAAAATGAAGAATAATTTGTTTACCTTTCTTAGATACACTTTTTTTTTCCAACACAAGATTCACAAAGCTTTATAAACTACTAGTTTGTAATGATTAACTGAAATCACAACTAGAATTATAAAATTCAAAAGTGATAATGGAAATTACAAAACGAAAAATTGTAAACGGCAAAATGCATGATTGAAACTCACTTTGAACTAATTAATACTATACATTGACAATGTTTTAAATATTATAAATTCTGTTCACATTAAATTTTAATTAAAATTAACATTTTATTTCACTAATCAATACATATATTCTAGTAGCTGATATTAATAGTAGTTGTCGAGATAAAATGTTAAGAATAATGTTGATTTAAAATTTGCTGAATTGATTATTACGATTTTTGCTAAAATAGGATATTAAAAAAGGTAAAGGAAGTTGTAAACTCCGACAAAGTTCCGTCGACCAGGTCACAGACTCCTAACAATTTTCACCGTTCATTTTTTATTTTTCTCTCTCTTTCTCTGTTCTTTTCTGTGTCTCTCTCTCTCTCCAGGGAGAGAGATTGATCAGCTACCCAAAAAAAAAGAAGAAGAAAAATCAGCTAACACGAATCCGAAAATCTATAATCCTAAATAGACGACACAGACACAGATAAAACAAATTCGAAAAACACATTAAAAAAACAAATTCGAGAGGAAGAAAAATATCTAGGGTTTCCAAAATAATAAATTCCCTCTTTTTCTTTTTTGGTTTTTGTTTTTCTCTTTCAACTTTCTTTCCCACCAAACACCGTTCCCGCTCCTGCATTCTTTCATTCCAAGAAAGCGAGGATTCAACTGATTTCAGATTGATAGCAGCCGGTGGTTCCTTTTTGTTTTTTCGGTCCAATTTTTTCTGTTCCTAATTTTATCCGGCGAGGGTGAATTTTCCGGGAAAATTTGCTTGTTTTCTCTTCCCTGCGACCTTCGCCGCCGGCTGCTATTGGTTTGTCAACGGCAACTTCTTCGAGGTGGGCTTTTCCTTATTTATTCATTTTCCCTTTCTTTTTAATTGGAAGAAAATTTTTCGTCTTGAATTTCACGGGTTTTAGAAAATTAGGTTTCGTGGTAAGCTTTAGAGGTTGTTTCTCAAAAGGGGAATTCAGAAAGGAATCGATTTTATGTTCTGGGGGTTGAAGTTTTGTGCTTTGGAATGTAATTAGAAAAGAAAAATCTTTATTTTTTTTGTTGTTGATTGTTTGTCGTTGTTGTTATTTGGGTTTCTTTTTGTTATAGGTGTTTTGTCTGATTTGTTGATCCGGCGGAGAAGGTACTTGGCAGAGGCAGGGGAAGAGAATGGTTGATGGTGTTGGAAGAAAGAGAGAATGTTATAATTGCAAAATTGTAATTCATGAGATCTTCTTTAGCTGATTTTTTTATTTGTTGAAACGTTGTTGATTTAAGTTGTTCAAGGGTTTTGAATGCATTTTGATCCATGGATTTGGAAGTAGTTCCATCTTCCCGGGATTTGTTGAAATGTTGCAACTGTGAGTGTAGTTGCTCCTTGCTAGCTCAATCATCCGGCACTTGGATGCGTTCTGTCAAACGTAAACATGATGAGTTCAAGCTGGATAACCCATTGCCTATGCCTGCATTTGCGCGGATTGAAATCGAGAACGAATGTGCAGCCTTACGTGAGATGGTTACCATGCAGCAGAAAACTATTCAAGATTTGAATGCTGAATTGGAGGAGGAGAGGAATTCTTCATCCACAGCTGCGAATGAGGCCATGTCTATGATATTGAGGCTGCAGAGGGAGAAGGCAGAGGTTCAAATGGAGGCACGGCAATTCAAGCGATATGCAGAGGAGAAGATGACACATGATCAGGAGGAGCTTCTATCTTTGGAGGATTTGTTGTATAAGAGAGAACAGGTAATTCAGTCACTTACTTGTGAAGTTCAGGCTTACAAGCACAGGATGATGAGTTTTGGCCTCACTGAGGATGAGGTAGACAGTGATCGATTTGAGCTTCCGACTTATGAATACCCTCCTTTGAAATGTAATGTGATGCATGGTGCTATGGATGCTGATAATGATGACACCGATATTGAGAAGTATGCATTTGGTGAAACTCCGAGTGACCGTTTGAGGAACTTGGAAAATAGGATTTCTCAAATGGAGAAAACTCCCACTTACAGCCAGATGGATGGAGATTTTACAGGAAAAAATATTCTAGAGAAAGTGATTGTTGGACAGTCTCCAAGTCGGACTATGCATTCAAGGAAATTTTCCTGTGACTCAACATCATTTGGTGGGATGGGTAAGGAAACAGGTCCTGAGTTTGTGATGGATTCTCCCAAGGTCAATGGTAACTATAAGAAAGATTATTTTTCACAGTCAGATGACCCTTCCAATTTGAAGAAGGTAGATAATGCTTCCGAAGGTGATGATATGAGTGACAGAATTTATACAATTGACTCTGTTCATTGTGGGGCACCGTATAATGGTTTCACAGAATCCAAAGCTGGAACTGGTGGTTTTGAAGATTATGCAACTACTCCAAGAGAGTCAGGGAACCATACTGATTTTGAGGATCCCTACATAAAGAAGCTTTACATGAGGCTTCAAGCACTTGAGGCTGATAGGGAATCAATGAGGCAGGCGATCATTTCAATGCGCACTGATAAAGCACAACTTGTGTTACTGAAGGAAATAGCTCAACATCTGTGCAAAGATATGTCACCACAAAGAAAAATTGCAAGGAAGCCATATTTTGCTGGCAACTCTTCATTCTCGTCAGTTTTCAAGGTAATTTAAAATTGAAAATGGTTACTGCTAAGATATGTGTTTCTGCCATATCTGATGGGGAAGGGGAAGGGCACATCCTGTTTAATCTATCCATCTTCTACGTTTTATCCGAAGCTTGTGTGGAGATAATCTATTGTTACGTCATTCTGCTTGTCATGGTTGGCCTTTCAGTTAAAGATTTATTTCAAGTGGTTTTCTGCTAACCAAGCTGGCTTTTCCAAGTTTTTGAAAATTCCTTAGAAGCTAATTTATGAAGTCAATTAATGCATGAAAAAATATTATTTCATTTAAGAGCAGAATAATTCATTGGGACTGTTTCTCTGCTCTCTCAGATGTTGCATTTTCCCTCTTTGTAGTGTTCTGTTGTTATTCTAGTTCTAGACATTACCTTTGTGCGCCCCCCCCCTCCTAATAAATAAATAAAAACAGATCCCATGCGTGTGCAGCTAGTTTTACTGATTGCTTCTTTTTGTGTTCAGTATGTTCAGTGGGTTTCATCACTTGTTTTCTGGAGAAAGAGAGCACGTCAAAGCAAGTAAGTGTTAGACTACATTTTGTTCTGATTGCTTAAAATTTACCTTTTCCTGATGCAAAATTATTTGTAATTCTGGCGTTGTTTTTAAGTGTGTGTTTACTGAAGTGAGAGCACAATAGGGCATAATTCTGACAACTTTACTCAGAAATCATTTTAAAGTGAAGGCAGTTTTGAATTCCAGTGGCCTTTGCTAATAAGGAATAACTCCTACTATAAAATATTAAATATTGAGTCATATCTTTATCTTTGGAGGTTCACGATTTGCCTATGAAACTTTATTGCAGCAGGCTTGGATTATTGAGTGTACTTGCATTGAATTTTGTGTTTGGTCTAGCTTTTTATTCTGAGCTTTTCTTCTCGTTAGAAAGAGAAGAAAGAGAAGCTGGATTAAACACAATTTTATAAAAGATCTTAAATTAAGGTAGCTATTCTTAATGCATAAAAATCGAAAATAAGAGCTTCTGTTGAAGCTATTTCAAGGAGCTTCTACCTTTAAGGAGACGAGAAGTCCAAAAAAACCCAGTCACACTACCATAATCATAAATTCTCAATCTCTTCTCTACAAATTATTTTCTAGTTTGTAACAATGTCAACATCTAGTCTTTGAACAGTATAGGAAATTTTTTGTTTCTGGGAATTGATTAGTGCGTACCGTTACAGTTCCCTCACCGCTTATACATTTTATTCAATTAGCAATTCCATTTTGATGATGTCTGTTAATTATGTATCCTGGTTTAAAAATACACATGCCCTGTGAAACCACCGTATAAAAGATATTATTAGCAAATTTCATTGTGATGTCTGTTAATTATGCTATAATATTTCTTATAGAGTGGTTTCATAGGTTATGTGCAATTTTTTAAACCTGTAAGTGAATAAAAGTATTTGTTGCGGATATCCTTGATCGATGATCGCTAACAAGAAACTATCCATTATCTAAAATGCTTTTTACTGCAGGTATATGTTCGGGCTACCGGCCGAAAGTACTGGTTTGCTGCTGCTGCTGGACAAGGGAACACGGGCAAGGCCATGGAGATGTATTTCAAGTACACAAGTGGGAGGAGAATAGTTTCTCGATTCTCTTGTCAAATGCGGGAGCATCAAACATGAATTTTTAACACTACTACGATGAGATTTTTTGTCTATTCCCCATGGATCTTTCTCCCAAAAAAGTGGTGTGTTGTGCAGTGTTCTTTTATTGCTTTTACGTAAAATTGAATGTAATTTGTTGGTTGATTCGTGAAAACTTGGATATGATATGACATACAAGCATTCTCACTCGTAAGGTTTGTTGGAGTTGAGTTCAGGGTACATCTTTGGACAATCTTCTCTTGTATATAACGTTTTGCTGCAAGTTTACTCACGCTTCAAGCAATGTCTATTCTCAATCTCAATTTTACTGAGTGCAGCTTTGTCAGTTTAGTTTTGCACATTCAAATGTACCTTCTATAACCTCCCGCAGTCAAATTCTTTGTTCTGAATGGATTGTCTATCATATTATTTATTATTAGCTCTTTTACTTTTATCAAATTGTTGTATAATAATGTAATTCATTTATTAAATTCATTTGTTTTAATTAAAGATGTGCCCACTCTTTTCATTCTACCAATAATGTAAATTGTTCGACTTTAATTATGTCTATTTTTTAGGCCAAGGATCAATGACTGGAGAAGCATATATTTTACAGTTGTGTCATTTGAAAATATAAAAAATGAATTGGTTACGCTTAAATTTTATTTCACACATTTACTTCTTTTGTATATACATATCTTAAAAATGCACCAAAATACAGGCACAAATGTCTTTTAGGTGTTGAAAAGACATTTCTCTAAGTTTTATTTAAGGGTATAAGTGGATACGAGTTTATTTGATTACCTAATAAATTTAATTCTATTCAAACGCAAAAATGTGGATTGGTTTAAATTATTGGTTTGGCTTGGTATGTTTTTTCCATTTTCTTTTTGTCATTGGGGAGGGAGATGATGGGATTGTGAGAATTTGGTAGACACATGGTTTGAATTACCTCCAAGTACTACTTTTGTTTTTCTCGTGAAAATTAGTTTCATTAGATAACAGTGAACAAACCTAAATGTTGTGCAAGGCCCAAGACAATACAATACCATTACCATAAAAAAAATACCATGAAGAATCGATAGGCTTGTCTCGTCATCACGTCTACCCTAAATTTGAAAGTGGAATGCGTTCGGGTATTTGATTTTAAGAACAAACCCAATTAATTAACAACTTCACCCTTACTATTTAATGTTTAACATTAGTTTCTAGTTGTTACTTAGCACAATAACAACATTTAAGCAACTCAATAACATATATCATATAAGAGTACATAAACAAAGCACATCATTTTTTTAAAATATATTATCTTTTCTGATATTTGTCAATATATTTTTTAAAATTTCTCTCTACTTTCTTTTTAAAAAATAGATCGATAATCCAAATCAAACCAACTCGACCATAGATAATTTAGTAAAATGACACCAAAATTGAACCAAATCATATTAAAACTTTCTAATCAATTTAGACACATTTTTCACTCAAATCTAATCCAATTACACCACTAATTTTATGTTTGCTTACATATTCGAACTTTCCTTTCTCTCGGCAGTGAACAGATGGATAAGTGGAACAGAACATTGACCAAGAGGTATCTGGAAAACGAATTTGCAGCTGTTCTTTGCTTTCCATTCCCTCGAAGTTGACAGCAAGGATGGGTATGCGAGAGGTTTGCACCCTTTTGTTTGGCATAAACTTTGACAAAAAACGAGAATGGTTGAAGAAATGTCAGTTCCTCAGCTATGTAAATTTAAATTTTATTTGAGACAAATGAAAGGTTAAGAATAGGAGAAAAGAAATGACATATTTTAGCCTCCCTATATGTAGCAGCAGAGTAAATTGAGTTTTAAATTGTAGTAAGCAAATGTAATTGTTACAGTAGCAGACCACATCATATGTGTTTGTCGGCAATTTTTTAATTATATTTGAAGTTTTGAAAGTCTCTACTGTTATAGCTACAACTGCAATCATAGTTTATAATTACAATTATAACTGTAACCTCAATTTTTTGTTATATTTAATGTTTTGAAAGTCTTTAAAATTAATGCTTAACGTAGCAATACACTCAAATTTAAACTTGAGATTATTAATAAAATTAAAACAACTTTATGTCAATTAGTTTAATATAATTATATAAATTTAACATATAAGTAGGCGTAACAATGTTGACTCAACGTAAAACAATCAACGTACTTTTAGACCATGGACATTTCAACGTCAGATTCTAGCTGGGTTCTAATTGGTTTCCAACATAGGCCGATGAACTTAAATTTGAAGTCACACATGGATTGTTTATGAATAAGTTGGTTGTCAAACTAAGTTCACAGACATGTTGTAGCTCCCATTTATTATAAGGGGGACAATCCTTAATCATATGTGCACCAATAGTACTCTAAAGAGACCTATCTATGCTATGATCAAATCATAACTCCTGTTAATGGATAAAATAGTGGCATGCAATTGATAATGAAGTCATTACCTCCACAATACAAAAGAGGTCCCAGTTGGCCCAAAAACTTAGAAAAAGGGAGGTTAATGAGGATCTATATCCCACATAATGAAGGAGATCACATTCACATACAACAAATAGGTGTTCAAGGTGCCATATGTTTGGACACAATGTTAAAAGTTGTATCAACCCAACTGTTGTAGAACCATCAAGAGGCAAAAAATCAACCAAGTAAATGTTTATTTATAGTCAATGAACTACTTCCTTTAGCATTCTAATATTAATACATGGTACTTGAGGATTGACCCAGGATAATGAAAAAGCCACAAAAACTGTTGGCGTTATTCCACTAGTACAATGTTTAGGTGCAGGACTTTTAGTGGAAAGAATTAATAATGATTTACTAGGAATGATAGTCAAATTTATTAATATTATGATTTGTAAATTATTTTTACAAAAAATCTCACACTAATTAATTTGGATCTTTGTAATATTGCAACAGAGAAAGTTATTTGTGAGATCTAAAAAGGGTGCAGTCACTTTAACATGTATTAGTTGATAGGTGTTGTATATATTTTTACCATACGTAATCTCACTATGACAAATACTGACTTTTTAACTGCTGCAGACTTCCAAGAAAGCTATTGAATTCCTTCTTATTGCTCAAAATAATTATGTTGTGTTGTTGTCTACCTTGTAAAAAATTAGGGCCACAACTTGAAGATTCTTCCTTACCAACTGCCTCAATTTCTAACTCAACTGCAATATCAGAAGATGTATTAACTATTGGACTAGAGGTAAAACAAAAATCATCATCACCTTTACAATAAGGTGCAATCTCGGTTAGTACTTACTTTTATATTCCTACAAGCATTAATGACACCATATGACATACTTTCATCCACTAAAGATATCGTGTAATTACATTTTATTAATCATGACCAAAATAGAAGAGCAACTAAAGAGTTTAGAAGATGCTATGTTATTAACTCAGACAAGTGCTATAAAGGAGACCAACTAAAGTCAGAGTTATTGTTTTTGCCTTGAATTTTAGAACAACACACAATTTTATTTTATTTTTTGTAATTAATAGTTAATTTGTTAATAGTATACTTTTTGTTTTTTTTACAAGCGGTCAACTTAAGAGCTTATGTTGACTAGTGATTTCATTTTGCAATACTTTAGCTATATATATGGTATGGCTGTACATGCAAAATAGTACTGTATTTTGAACAGACCTTGTGGTTCAATGATTACATACAATTACATTAATCCAAAGTTGTTATTAGATTTCTTTTCAAGCATTGTTACAATTAAAGGAGCATTTTAGATGTTCTGTTACACAATTAAAATCTTTTAGCAAAATTGCTTTAATTAATTTAACACAACCTAAATTAGTAAACACACCGATTTGTCTTTAAACTCAATTTGATTTCAAGATAAGAATTTCCCATTTTCACTAAAAAAACAACAGTTACAAAATAAGTCAGAAAAATATATACTGCATTACATTGATCATATCATATTTGTCAAACATAGGACATTTTGCAGTACAAGACAATCCAAACAAAAAGAAAAAAACACTATTCATGGCATTACAAGCAAAATCAAAACAAGATTTCACTTTCTTCTTCTCATTTGTAATTTTTTCTTTTAGCTTCCCAACTTTTAATACAATCGTAGTACCTTCAATTGCAATCTCAAAACATTACATATAGTGGGTTGGTTGGCTTGAATATTCTTCAATGATCTCTGCCTTATCTATTCAAAGTAGTCACAACCATATATCTTCTACACCAAAAACAAACAAAAAATTAACATAAAATTAATTGTAATGCAAAACCAAACAAGATATCAAACAACAATTAAACGGTTACTATGCATCCCAATGACAACATCTCTGAAATTTTCTCCCAAAATTTTTCACACTAGTAGATGTGAGTAGCATTAATGAATCTCCACACCCACAAACCTTCCTACATGAGGTTGATGATGATCTAGAGAATACTTTACTTTTGCTCATGTTTAGTTGTTTTCTACTTTGATCTTGGGACAAGAGGCAACAACTGCAAGACACATGGAAGAAAAAAGTCTTAACTTTTGATTTTGAGACCTTAAGAAAATGTAAAGTAAGCAATATATGATCCGGGTACGTTTAGAAATAACAAATAGTGAATGCGTGGCCTTCCATCTCGAATTTAATGTCGATTAAGAGGAGAGTAAAAAATGGCTATTTTAACAAATATAGGGATATAGGGACTAGTTTTATGTTGAAGTGTAAACAACATTGCATGGTTTTTTTAAATTTTTTTTAAAAGATTATAAAAGCATGTCACTTATTTTATAAAATATAAATTTAATTTTTTATAATTTATTTTTTAATAATAATTTCTCCCCCAAAAATAAATTCTAATTGTACAAAATTTATGAAATTTATTATAAATTAATATCAAAATTTTAATAGTATATGTACATAAAAATATTTTTAATATATATCTTTATTAAAGTAAAAATAATAATAAATTATTTTTAATATATATCGTTTAAATCTTACTTTTTTTATCTCATTGATTAAATAAAATAACATAATATTATACGTATTACTATTTTAATGTAAATCAAACATAAAATAAGATAATTATTTATTTTTCATTTATCATGTCTTATCTTTATCCAACTCTCATGTCTTATTATTTTTTATTTCATCATATTCACTAAATAAATTCTTTACGTATCATTCATAATTGAATTATAACATTTTCATAACAAAATTTATACAATAAATTTTTTTCTATTTCTTTTTGTCATATTTTTTTTTATCTCTTTAATTTGTAACAAAAATTGTATAAAATTATTGAGAAAATATAATTTCTCTTCACAATTAAAGCTTGACGTAACATCTTGTGATTCACACCCGCAATTATAGCCAATTGTGGCGGCATCACCTGCGTTCAACACAGTATTAAAGATCTAACACTGATATCAATAAATATGAAAATAACATGTGCAAGGAAATTGTGAAACACAGTCGACCACTCATGCATATATATGAATCATATGTAACCATAATCAATATATGATTGATTTATTCATTATTATTATTTTTGCTATTAATTTATTCATTATTTTAATGTATACAGAAGTTTGATGAATAAATTAAATACAATACAATATATGCTTGCATCAAGTATATTAATTAAATAAGGTTACATTGTAATACAAGCCAAACGTGTGACCTGCAGTTACATATTGACTAGTCTTTTGCATTTAAATATTCATGGTTTTATACAATTAATAATTTATACAAAGGAACTTGACTTTTTCACTTTTTTAGCCACTTAATTTTCTTTTATTTTTCATATATGTAAATTAAATTAGGAATGGAAATGTGTAAAGTAGGAGGGTATGTCCCACCTTTTTTTTAACTTATGCTAAGAAACTTATTAAAATAGGTTAAAAACAATTTATAAGAATCATGGACTTATTTTTATAAATTATTCATAAATTCTTCCAACCAAACTTCATATATAATGTATTTAGTAAAAGAGGGCATAAGGAAAACAAATCTTAATTAAACAATTATACATAAATAATCAAGATTAAAAATTATTTAAAATAATTAAAAATCTCACTCAACTTTTCATATAAAAAAAATTTAATCTCATATGTTTAAAATAAAATTTAACTTTCAATACTTACCTTTCTTGTTATCACATAAAAAAAAAGTTATTTTCACTTAACACTTCCACAATCACACTAAATAAAAGGTTTATCAATGAACTCGTCACAACAATAAGAAAATGCCCAATTTTTTGGATGTTTAGAACCTAACCGAGTCCTTTATTTGAATGTAAGATTAAGTAGAGATGGTAACGATGTAAGTCGGGGAAATTTACCCTTCTTCTCGTCAAACTTTGGCTTAGAATTGAGCGAGTTCCTATAAATTCGAGTTCCATTATCATCACTAAGCTTAAGCTCTTTGATTCAAATTTTACCTTATTCATTAACTTGTTCATTTTTTTTATGCATACTGAATGTACTTGCTTACTCATAACATTCAACATAGAAAAGGAAAAAAAAAAAGAGTCATGTCCTCTCATCCTCTCATCCCAAATGATGAGAACAAGATATAAGTGATGACTTTGGCACATGTTTATGTAGGTCCTCTCAGAGCGACGAAAATGATTGAGAAATTGAATATAAGCATGTAATCTGTATAATAAGAATGAATATCAAGACCCCAAAGTTTTTATCCCACTTCAATTCTGTGGATTTGAGTTACGTTACGTGTTCTCCCTTCAATCATCGCTGGACCAACTCATTAGTGTGAGTTCAGGTCTTTCTCATATAAGTTTTCTAAAAAATTACTAGATTATTTTAATTAAAAATTAATTATAAAATTAAAAGTTTTTTCCACATAAATTATATCTATAATTATTAAATTTATTTAAAATCATTTGAGATTTTACTTGTATATATTAAAATTATTATAATTAATATATACTTGAGAAATATATTAAAATAAAAAGTCCTTCATTGTATTGTTAATATTATTCAATTTTATTAAAAATTTAACATAAACAATTATATTAATATAAAATTATAATCTAACTATCATATTAAAAAAATCATATTTTATATAAAATTATTATTAGTATAAGGGTGGTGTATATATCTTTTAAAATGTTCTCATACGAAAAGGGTTGATTTTAGGACGTGAATCCTCCTATATTATTTTCATTACAAATATTCAATCGATTAATAGAAAGAGTTTTAATAGAGTGAAGTATTAATTATTTTTTTAATAAATCGACGGTCAATAAAAGAGTATCACAAAAACAAAAAATATATATACAATGTATTCGTACTCAGATCTAAATAAAAATATCGAATTAATAAGAATACATAATTTTAAAATATAATAACATTATATAATTAATTTTAGAAAATAAAATTATGTAAACTAATTTCACAAATATTTATTTGTATAAATATAATTTAATTTATATTCATAAATTATTATATTTTATGATGATAATATATATTTATTAATGTAACACTCTTCCATTTACTGTCGATTTATTAAAGAATATATTCATACTTAATTGTATTTTAACAGTAATACGAAAGAGTAAAAGATAGCCATTAAAATTCTACCATGTTTCCAACTGAAAAAAGCATATATAATTTACAAACTAACTCCAGCTATAACGACATATATTACCAAGAAGGCTATTTGATTACAATCTCCATCAAGCTACGAACCAATGAACTTGAAATTTTTCATGAATCTTACCATTTCATCAAACTAGAAAATGTGGATTAACAATTAAATCACTGCATATGTATAGTCTAGCTAGACCCTTTAATCATCTTTTGTTTTTGGCATCTTCTAACTAGAATTTTCAAGTATGAACCGTTTAAGCATCTGCAGGACCTCATCTGCAGCCTCTGAGTATGAATCATGAGTGAAAAAACCATGTTCCTTCCCCTCAAACTCAACGTATTCAATGTTCTTCCCTAGTTCTTTGAGCCTTCTTGCATAATCTTCAGCTCTGTCCTTGAGCAATTCATTGCCACCAACTATGACTAAAATAGGGTCAAGCTTCACATGTTCAAGGTTTGGACTTTTAGGTCCAAATGGGTTCGCCAATGGGTGGTCTCTGCTCTCTCCAATAGGCATCGACAGCCTCCAAAATCTGCTTCAAGGAAGAGTAAACAACATTATCATATCAGTCATATATTATTTAAATAATATTTTGTATTATTATACTTTTTTAGGCCGGTTTGATTTTTATATATTATCCGTGCAAATTTTTATAATATTAATTAATTAAAACTTACTTTATATATAATTTTTAAAAAGTATTAAAAAGGCAAACAAATTTAATTATATGCCAAATCGTGATAAATAATAGTATAAAAATCTTTATACAATTAGTATATTTCTTTCTTTTTTATCTCTCTATATACTGTACAAAGCATTGTATGAATTTGTTGCACAAATATAATTTATTAACACATATTATAATTGGAAGGATAATAAATCTTAACCTTTAAAAGATCCAAGCTTAAGTATATATTAATGATTATGCGATTCAACTTTGTTGTGTTCTGACAATAACAATATTATGTATGATTGAATTTGCAACCCTCTAAAAAAGTGGATTGCATCACTTGAGAAAAGTTTCTGAATGATTTTGTTGTTTGAGGATATGACACATAATTGAATTAAGTGATTGTCGACATGCTGAATAATTTTGCTTTTAGTGTTGTACACATATTCATCACTTTCTCCCATGTACCCACTTCTTTCATAGGTATAAGTTACTTTAAAAGTAAAAGAAAAAATGGTTTTTCTTTACACATGGATTACCATATTAATTAAAATATTAAAATGTTAATAAACTAGAAGACAAGTAAAATCATCGCTAATAATTAAAATGGTGCACACAAAAGAGTATATATTTTCCTAATTTCAGAAACATCTAATTTTTCTTTTCATTTTCATGGGTGGCTGCATTTAATGTACTGAGAAGTTATGGAACTACTCTTAGAATATTCAGTCCAAATATTTGATCACGAGGGTATACATGACATATCTAATAGTGGGGGATTTTATTATTTGCGAAAGATATTGAGTGAGGAACGTGAAAAACTTTTTATTAAAAATATAATTATAATTTTTATGTTTAAAAAAATAAAAATTAGTGGAATCTATTTAGTAATTTGGTTCTTTCAGAATGATAAGTAATTCATTAATTCTAAGTGGATTGATTACAGAGAATTTCACTCTTTGTTTTTTGTAATAAAAGTTCTTACATTTGGTGTATTCTATCCGAATGTTTCTCAAGTACATCAATTTTAATTAACATAGTTTGATGTTTATCATTATAATTTTTGCCAAAAATAAAACATAACTTAGATCATGTTGATTAGTAAATTATTTCTCTTTACATTTTTTTATGGTAAAGTTATGTATACTAGTATAGGTAATTTTGGTCTTTAAAACTTATATTCAAACATTTATAGCTGTACATAAAATCTATCAATTGTAATTTTATTATCTTTTTCTTTTAATATCTCGTTTTCACCATTTTGTTATGAAATAAACCCTGCGAAATATATCTTGGTAATTTCTTAAATAAAATCGGAAAATAATAATTACGAAAGCATATGGGTTTGGAAATTAAAAATATGATTAAAAAGGTATGAGAAAAGTGTAGAAAGATATAAAGTAAATGTAATAATTGAGGTGTAAGAAAATTAAAAAAAAACGATAATTGAGTGAAAAGTTGATGACAATAACGTTTCTCTTTCTCCACATTTGTCGAACGTGGCACGACGGCACCAAGATGTGACTTAAAGAGGTGCAGTGCAAGATGTTACTATCACTTAGCAATGGCATGTTTGAAATTTAGTCTCTTTTCATTTCCTCACGTTTCAAAATCCAAATCATAATATCATTTCAGACTTCAAATTTATGCATTTAAGATAATTACTTCCGTGCCTTTTAATTCACATTTAAATTATCTTATTTAATTTTATGGGGTTAATGTATATATCACATTTTAAAGTATATTTATGATTCTTATACTCTAAACTGAAATATGACACAGTTAATATTCAACATTAAAATGGAATATTTTTTAAAAATTATAATCATTATTTTGGATATTTTCAAATCTGAAACATGTTATATATATATTGTTAGTATTATTGTTGTCGATACTGTTGCAAGGCATCAGCTTAAAGAAAGCACTATCTATACTAAATATCCGTAAGTTTGTAAATTATTTAAAAATTTAGAGTTTATTATTAAAATATTTTTACACATAAGTTGAATGAACATGAAAATAATTACCCAAATAATTTTATGTAAGGAAGATTTTTTTTCCGCCAATGTGAGAAAGAAAATTAAATCATATAAAATTTCCTTATTTTTTAAATAAAATAAAAACTCACGCTCTAAAAATTACTTTTAAAAATATAGCAATATATTTAAATAAGGTTTTGAAAGAATCAAAATATGAAAAAAATTAAATTATGTTATAAACATAATAAGTAACTTATTTTTACGATTAAACTACTTTTTAAAAATAATATAAACATTATTTTATCAACAAAAAAAAAAAAAACTAAGCAGATAGACCATAATAATGACAGTAATGCATGCAGCCGCCATTACGTTTTTTTATTATGAAATATATCTTTTACACAGTCAAATTTCTTTCATTAAAATTATGAAACTTGACATGATGATTATTTTTTATTTTAAATTTCTTTTGGGGTAAAAAGAACTTTAAAATTAAAAAATAGCAATTACGCAAATAAATATTAATTATAGTAATATTAAAAGTTTATTCTTTTCACTCTTGAAATAAAAAAATAATGAACTGTATGATAAAAAAATTAAAAGAGATACAAGGAAAGGAAAAATTATATACATATATATATATATAGTTATTTAATTAAATATTCGTTAGTTTGATTAAAACATTAATAACAAAAAACTATGACATTAATTAAATAACAAATACCATTAACACGTTAGTCAAGGGAATCATAACAACACACGGACGGCTGTGGTTTGAAAATAGGCCACGTTACTTTCATAAATTTTGAGGTTAAGAATTGAAAAAACATTAAGTGTTATTTTATAGAGATTGTTTATTAATTAAAATTATAATTTTATTAAAACAAAACATTAAATTCAATTAATAAGTAAGATAGGTTACCTAAAGAAAAATATTGACAATATATTCATTAATACATTTATTATTATTATTTAAATTTATTAAAAATTAAAAAGAAAATATTAATTTAAAAATAAAAATAATAAAATTCATATAATTAATAATAAAAAAATCTCAAAAAGTATGTTGGTCCCGTTATTCTAACTTTAGCCTTAAAGAAGTTACGCAAAATTATTCAAAAAAGAATATGTACTGTTTAGAATTTATCATTCACATTGTACCCTTACCTGTCCAACATTTCAAGGGTCAGCATTTGCTCCGAGGGACCCACCTCCGACCTGGTCCGAACAACCCCACCGAAAAAGGGTCCCATTAACACGTAACCTCGTACTCGAACCGGCTCCATCTCTCTCGAACCGGAACCCAACTGAACCGCCAAGTGGTGCGCAATGTTCCCGCCAGACGAGTCACCCACCGCAAACACACGGTCAAAGTCAACGCCCTGGCTCACCCACGCATCCTCGCCGTGCTCCCCGAGACCCTGTCTCTGCATCCACCGCAGCGCCTCCACCCCGTCATCCACCGCCGCAGGAAGGCGGTGTTCTGGCGCCAAACGATAGTCCGGCGCCATCACAACGGCGTGGAGGCTCGCGGCGAGACGCACACAGCAGCCATGAAGGTGAGGCCACGCGCGCGAGCCGAAGCAGAAGCCTCCACCGTGGAGGAACATGACAACGGGCAGCTTCTCGTTGTTGATGAATTTGGGTTTGTAGAGGCGGAGGTGGAGGTTGAACTTCTTGTTGAAGAGGTAGTCTTTGAATTGTACGAGGTGGTCGTGTGGGGTGGGTGAAGGTTGGTTGAATTGTATGTCTTTGGAGCGGAAAACGGTGCCATCGTTGAAGAGTTGGAGGAGGCCCATGCAGTCCTCGACTACGTGACGGTGAGAGAAAGCCATTGCTGTTGCTGTGAGTGGGTAATCGGTTACTGTGGTAATGGTGAGGCACAGCACAGGTGATGAGGGCTATAAATATATGTTCACCAAAGAGGTAAATAGACACCACAATGGCGCCATGTTGGTGGCTTCTTGCTTATTGGTGGGGTATCAGAATCCCTTCTTTAACTCTTTTCTTTTATGCAACATCTCTTTTCACATCACGTAATTCATCATATGTCTTACTGTAAAATATTCTAACAAGACTATTTTTTTTAATATACTTTATAAGCTTAGTTATTTTGAAAGAAAAAAAAAACAGTTAAACTGCTAACCTTGTTATTTTATTTTTTAACAAAATATTTAATTTTTTTAAATTATAAGAAATCAAATGAAATGTATTCAAGAATGTGTTATTAACCGTTTTTAATCTTGTCTTTATGTTTTTATTTTTTCAAATTTTTATCTCTTTTTTATTCACCATGTTACACTAAAACTTTTTTATCTACTACACAAGTAAATTCTGTTTAAGTTAACAAAATTAGAATTAGTCTGAAATTAACATTTATCAATAAGAATTATTTTTTAGACTTTAATTAATAAGTATTATGCATGTATATCTAAAATTAACATAATTAATACACAAATTTAAAATTTAAACTAAAAAAAAATTAAAATAAAAGAAATTTTTTGTGAAGTCAACTTTCTATTTTTTCTAATAAAAAAATATATCATTATCTATATTTTCTTTCTATTTATTTTTTATTTTTTAAATTTAAACTAAAAGTTTTTTTTTTCTAAATTCAACTTTCCATTCACTAATAAAAAATATCGTATTATCTATATTTTCTTAATTTTTTATGTTTTTTTATTTTATTTTAGCACATTTTTATTTTTTTCCTATCTTTTTTAATCACTTATTTCACACTCTTAAGACATAACGTAAAACAATCATTTTCGTAGAGATTTGCCTGACGTGTAAAGCTAAAAAGTTAAGAGTGTATGTACATCCACTAAATTATACGTTGAAATTAGGATTAATTTAATCATTAAAAAAAATTAAAATATGATGTTATCTTTAAAATTATTAAATATTAATTCTTTAATTTATAATTTTAAAAACTAGAATCAAATTACTATTTTTTTAAAAATAAATATGAAATATTTAGGCACTAATTCAATCTCTAAATAACTTATTATATTTTAACAACTGAATTAATAACTAATTTTAGAACTGTAAAAGAGTTTAATAGATTTAACTTTATTCTTAACTCATACCCATGCATATTAATGCTAAAAAGTCCAATAAATAAAAAAATTTGTGGTTTTAAAAAGCTCACAGATCAAGGTTGAGATCAAAATTTTATAAACTAAACAAAATTAATATATACTTCAACAATTTAAATGATAAAAAATTACACAATTTGTAAAATTTTACATGTTACTCTTATATTAACAATATGTTTTCAAAATAAAATAAAACTAAGATCAGACAAAAAAAAGTGTTATTTTAATTTATTTATATATAATTAAATAAAAGTTTCATCGTAATAATAAAATATTATTTATTCTATTTTTTTCTTCAATACATAACATTTTTTTATTATTAAATTATAGTGATACTTTGTATATACTATACTATAAAATTTATGTTTAAAGTTAAATTAAAAAAATACATTTATAATTCATTTAAAATGCATTAAGATATTTTTTATAAGTTTTTTATATTATTATTTCTTACTTATTACTTTTTGATATAAAAATTTATTTTATTTATCATTTAGTATCAATATATATATGCATTTTAATAAAATAATTATTTTTTTTTACTAACAGTTAGGTGGTAAAAATTATTCCTAAAATAACATTAAATTTATTATAATTATTAAATGGTAATATTTAATTTTTAATAATAATTAAAGACATTAGTAAATAATAATATTTTATATATTTTAAAGTAATAAATAATTAGAATAAATGTAAAATATTTAAATAATATAATTTAATATGAAATAAAATGAGTATACTTATTGTATCTATCTTTTTTATCATTTAGATATAAATATATAACTAATTTAATTCTTTAAATTGTTTAAATTTAACATTATTTTTTATATTATCAGAAAAATTATATTTTAAATCTTAATTAAGTTTGGTACGATGATACATTTGATTTAGAGTAATATAATAAACAATAAGAAGATAGAAAAAAATAATTTAAAACTGACAACATGTACTTGTAATTTTTAAATTCTCTATAATGTATATGTATATATAGACTTATAGATATACTTTATAAAGATATTTATTATTCATTCAAAAGTTAAATCATAATTTATATATTTTATGGTGATTTTTTTTAAAAACAATTAATAAAAAAAATAAAAGTAAAAACACATGTTTTGGAGAGGAACAATTTTATATATGTGTATTTTTTTCACACAACATATAAGAGAATGTTTAAAAATATGTTAAAATTTTAATAATTATAATTTAAAAATGTAACTATTAATATTGAAATAAATATATTTATACGTAAATTTAATTAAGTTATAAAATTTTTCTTCTTAATTTTTAAGATTAATTTTAAATATTTAATAATAAAATTTTCTTAAAAATTAATTTTATAAACTTAAAAGTAATATGACATTAATAATTTTATTAATTAATAATAATATATTTTTAATATATTTAATTTTTTTTATTATAACAATGCTATACATGAATCGAAGAATAATAAAAAAAAATTTAACAAATGCATATTACTGATCAATGCATATTTAAATGAAAATTTATGTATAGTTAAGATTTTAAAATAATAGATTTTAGATATGATTTTAAATTTTTCAAGTAAAGACTGACTCGAATATCTCTAGCTGATTCACATATTTTTAACTAATCAGCTTAGAGTCTAATTATTTTTTTATTAATATAGGAAGAATAAGAACTAGCCCTTAAATCAAAACCCATTTTGATATTGGTCCAATTTCATATTTTATTTTTGTCACTGAAGTAATTAGTTGCTAATTTGGTTACTAGCAATCAAATTAGCATTTGATTTCATATTTTTTTTTTTATCATTATAATTAATAAATTATTTTACAGCAGTGGTATCTCATCTCATATTATTGTTGAAGGAAATGATTTGCATTTTGAGCTGATTTGATTTAGAAGTAAACCGAGAATCAGAAACAAAACTAGTCAAAAACAAAATTTAGAGGATCAACACTATAGGGAAATCACTATTTGGATGTGGTTTCTTTAACAACGATTATCAATAACATCTAGAAAATAAGTTTTAAAAATCATAAATAATTATTCAAGCTTTGCCAATAAATAAAAGTTTAACATTGGTTTTCGTAAAAGTACAAACAAATCTTTGTTTGTGCCAAAATTTTCACTTTATGGCACTAATATTTAAGACCCAATTAGGTGGTTTCCCACTATATCATGTCTAAGCTCAACCCACTTCATAGTTTCGAATTGATACTCACACTCGAAACTCCAAATTTGTTTTAAATTTTAAATCTCATTTTCTTTTCCCTAATTTTTAAATAAAAAACCCAAATCTCATCTTATATTTAAATCTATAAAACAATGTTGATGAATTCTATCATAACATGATTATTGTAGTCTAATGTATGAAACACTTTACCCCTTTTTGGGACCTGTGTTTACATGACACGTTTCATTTTATGCAAGTTGGTCGAATAGAAAATTTGATTTGAAGAAAAATAATTAATATTTCATCCTTAAAATGATTTGGATTTATAAGAAGGTTTTTGAATAAAAACTATTTTATTGTTTTATAATAACTATTTAACAGTATTGACATGGTCTTATATTTTTCATATATTAACTTGTTACTTGGTAAATGCATGGGAGATGATGTCATTCAACAATTATTTAACAATGATCCAATGAACTTAAGCTTTCATACGGTAACTAAGTACTTTAAAATATAATTAAAATGTTTCATTCTTTTGTCTCACGTGTCTTAAATTTTTATATCATCACTTAGGGGTTAATTTTAATATACTTAAAGTTAATTTTCAAGACTGAAGTTAATAAAATTGCCGTCGTTCTTCTTCTTCTTATTGCTTGCAGCTGCCCAGAATGGTTTCTATACACTGATTGATTCTATTCATCTCACCCTACACTTACGTGTCCATCTGTAATGTTTTTCATAATATTTTATTCAAAATTTTATTATTTTGGATAAGCATGGAAGGTTCTGGAATTATTTTTTATTAGGAGGGTTCACAAATCATTATGATTAATTTCGTTCCCATTGTTTTTCAATATTATCATATCTAAAACGATCTCATATGATCCCTGTAATATATTTTCAAAACTCCATCTCTCAATTCTTTAAATTTATATTTTAAGTTTCGTAAGAGTCATCTTTACAATATTTTATAACTTTTTATTAAATGAATTTATTTTAAAATTTAGTATTAGACAAAACTCACAAAATAAAAACCAACTGCATAATATATCTATAAAATTTTAGATTATATATTTTAAGATTATTTAATATCTTATTGATATACATCAACTTATTTAATATATATTTTTAAAATATATAAAAATAAGAATTATTTAACTATTACAATTTATCAATTAATTAATAAAATTTCTTCATATTAAATTATTAAATGATGTAACACTATTATTAGTGTTTTTGGATAGATAATTTAATTAAAAACATGTTAAATAAACTCTAATCATATGAGGTCTTATGACATAAGTTGATCACGAAATTTATTAGAATAGGTTACTAAGAGTTTGTTTTAATAAATCTTGTAAAAAAAATTTACAATAAATTAAAAGAAATTATGAGAATCAAACTATTTCTATAAGTTTTGTATAAAAAAATTTTCAAATACTTTCAACATGTCTTAAAGAGGAATATTGGAAGTATTTAATCGATATTACAAGAATTTAATTACTTAATTAATTATGAAAATGTTATAATTAATTTATCACTAAATACATTTTAACTATGAATTAGTTACAGATGA